TTGGACTTACTTTACTTAATCACACAAAGGTATTGTGATTTTAGTTTCTAACCCTCAATTCTCTTTTCTGCCTGTAACAAAATTGATCTAGGTTAGCCTTCCCCAACCTGCACACTCTAGATAAACTGGACTGCAATTCCCAACTTTTGGCCAAGAGGGCTGAATATCCAAGGAAGGGTTGTCTAGACCATTTAGAGAACTGTATTTTGGGAAAGGCTATTTTAGGCCCCCCAAATTAAAAGGCTTCAGGAACATAGGTGGCTTCCAAACTGCTATCCTCTTTTTCCTGCTAAATGCATAATTGGCTTTTGCAGAGTAGGTGAAAAGAAATAGAGAAAACCACACTAGAGTTTGACTGCAGTCTGCTACCCTCTAAGTTTGTTGCTTGTATCTTCTATTAATGACTGGATGATCCTTGACCCAGTTCATTTGTGGTACTGAGGCAGAGGGCTACTGCTCCATGGTGCCAAAAGAGAAAAGGCATAGGGAACATTGCTACAGAATAGTCACATCATTTCTGCCAAGATGCAAAGTGATTCACATCTTCCTAATACAATACTATTTCAGTACATATTTACATTCTCTTTTAAAACTCTGGTAGATGGAGAGAGCAAGGAAGAGCCTCATGGGTGCATGGATTTATGCATTGCCTTCACTGCCAGGCCTGTTTAATCAGTGGCTGTCTTAGTTGCTTACTGTACTCTGCTTCTGGAATAACAGGAGAATGTTGAATTAACTGAGGTTTGAGATGCTATACTTCCAAGTATCTGATGTATATAGAGAGCTATATCTTAACATGGCCTGTGAATTGCCAAATTATTCTTGATGCTTGCAGGGGGGAAGAAGAGTTCCTGGACTCTGATAATATCTGGGGCTAGATCTGCATAGCTTGGCTCTATGTGTCTTCCAGGTACTTTAGACTGCTGTTTCAAAAACCATTTGCCACTGACTATGTGGGTAAGTGAGAGTTGATACCTAAAGCTACTGGAAGACGTCTGGAGGTCTAGCCTGGTTCTGATTTTATCTCTATCCTCTTTCAGTAGCTCTTCATCCTTGGCTTACCTGCTATGCTCAGAACAGTACTCAATATAGCCTTCCATTGTCAAATTAATTTGGTCTTTAAACATAATATGACTTAGGTTGTGGTGGGGGGGAGGGTTCTACCAAGCTTTTACCTCTTATGCCATTCCAAAGCACAAACTCTTTGGTCCTAATCCTGCAGTTGGCGGTTGTCTCTGAAACTGACCAGAGCAGCACAAACCACCTGATGTGGTTGGCTTTTTCTATTGTTGGAACAGATCACTCCTAAACAAAAGGATGCTTGTAGAAAACACTAGTTGTGATCTGAAAGGGGCTTTCAATGTTTTGAGTGTTTGATCTCTTTAAAAAAAACTAATAAAAATCTATTTTCTCAAAAGTTGGTCTGTCATTTTTGATTAAATAGAAAAGCCAGTATCCAAATGATGAAGGCTACAGTCAATAAAAACCTCAAAAACTCCAGTCTAGTAGGCTTCAGATGTGTTAAATGTGTACACATGCTCAGCACATTATTAGGGGAATTTTTAATGTGAGTGTAACGAATTGGAAGAGTGCTCTGAATTCCAATACTGATTTAATAGTAATTTAGCAATAAAAAATTAAAAACTCTTGCCCAAATGTAATATAGGTGTATTTAGAAGATTGTAGGTGGGATAGCAATTGAACAAATCAAATAATATTTTTATTTGTACTTTCTTAGGTTTGTTTCAGGTTTGGGGAGTTTGATGAATTGTTTGGGATACTATACTTTTTGGCATGAAGCCTATTTATCATGGCTATACCTTGCATAGAATATGACCTAGTTTGTATCATTGAGCCATGGTTTACTTAACTACAGTTCACAGGATAAATCACAGTGGGTGGAGTAGGTCTGCCCAATATGCTGATCCAAAATTAAGCAAAATAACTCTTGGGCAGAGTCTGGGTGGCTAAGAATGTAATTTTGATGCTTGTTCCTTCCAACATCATGATTCTAGAACTTAGTGTGTTTTGTGATCCAGCCCATGTTTGTGTTCTGTCATGTTTGCAAAGTTGGCTCTTCACATCCAAGTTACTCCAGCATGACTTGTTTCCATGCAAGGTATTTGAATTGAAGGTTATTTAAAAAAAAAAAAAAACTCAAAAGGAAGCAGCCATTGTTAAACCCTGTGTATGGGTTCATCTGTGATGTGGCAGGCTCTTTCTGCCAAAAAGTGTTGAGGAATACAACTTAGGTGCTATTCAAATCAGCTTCCCTCAGTGCACATGTTGGTATGAATCTGTGCTGAATGTTGGATAGCAGTGTTGATGGTCCATGTGATTGTTAAGCATTTGTTGATAATATGCAAAAAGAAGAGCTCTAATTATTTTGCAAATCATGTAAGTCTGAAGTAGAGAAGAGGAAACCAATTGTGTCAAAAGGAATGTATTTGCAAGGCAAGAACTATAAGGTATCATCTGATCTGAAGCCATTTTTTCTGCTGAACACAGTGCAAAGAAGGAATAAGACAATGGAGAGAAAATCAATTTTACCACTAAAACTGAATTGCCGCCTTGTCCTGCATCCTATATGCATGTTTTCCTATCTTCAGGAGTTCTTAGGTAATACTGTGCTAAAAAAAACCAAAAACCTTCCTGTTTATCAATAGTTTTCTCCCCCTGTGAAAGAGCTCCTACTTACTCATTTACCCTATTCTCAAGCTGCTTTGGAATTTCTCTTGATTGTGTTTTTGAGGTTATGTTATTGTCAGAAGCTAGCAGAGGGTGTTGATAGTTTGTTTTTTGTTCCAAAACTCTTGGATATTGCAGCATCACCTAATTTGCTGGTCTGGAAAAACCTTGAAGGACCTCTTCTCAGTGCTTAGGATTTTGCAGTGACAGTCTGCAGATTGCTGGAGAGAGGACTGCATGATGAAAGACATCGACCCATACGTTTTTTGGCCATGTCATTGCTAATGTAAATGCAAGAACTCTGCACTTAATCACGGAGGATTTCACTAAAAAGTTTGAATGCAATTCCTTTTCCATCAGTGAATTAAGAATGGTTAAAAATGCAGAATAACTTTTTGGTGCAGCTCTATTGTAAATAGCTGAAAACGTGATTCCCTCCTGCAGTTGCCACTGACACCATCTATTCTACTGCTGCATCCTGCCTTTGCAGATCAGGTTTCTCTAATATAGTGTATCAAGCCAATTCCGACTTAGAGGGTCTTTTCAGTGGCCTTGCATCACTGAGTGTGATTCTCTAAATTTCCAGAGGAGGTTCCTTTGTTTCTTTTTATAGTTTTCATAAGAACTCTGCAGAAGAGCATTTTCCGGCGTCTTCATTTTGTTTTTCCTATAAAGCTTTGGCTGTGACCATTTGTGTTCTGTATTTCTGTCCAGGGGACAGATGTTACCTTGCTCCCTAGTGCACCAGGAAAACCAAATAAGCCTTCATTGATATCTACCATCCTTCCAATCAGAATGCCTCAAATGGATAAAACACTGAGGACAAGAAAATGATCTCAATCAACTAAATAGATTGTGATCAGGATCTACTGTGAAGCAGACAGTGTTTCAATGGACCCTAATGTCTGAAAAGCAGTGCCTTTTTGCTGCTTGCAAGAGGTGAAATGTGTTAATAAGCCCCATGAATGAAAATTGATTAAAGAAATGCCTTCCTGTAGGATAAAGAAGGCATCAGTGAGGGAGCAAGTACACTCAAGGTTTAACATAACCACTTGGCATCTAGTGGCTGGTTTCCAGAGTCCAATTTAAACTCAGGTGCATTCTTTTAGATGGAAATTCCCAGCATCTGATCTAGAAAATAGTTAATGGTTTATGCTATGGACCTACATCCCTCCCCAGGGGTGGGGTGCTATGGAAGGAGTGCTGATGACCTTGTGACACTCTCCAGCTCTCAGCTAAGCCTACTGTGGGGAAAATACATGTCCTGCATTTTGATTCTATGCTACAATACAGGATTGTTGAAAGGTTGATACTTAAGAAGCGCCACCAAACAGTGTAATAAATGAGGGGTCCCTCTCACTTCCCAACTTGGACTCGGACCTGGTTTATGCTGCAGTAGAAGCTCTTAATATGTTTTTAGGGTGTACTTTTTCCTGTAATGATAAAGATGTGTTAATCTGTTTATTTACACTAACCTAGCCTGTTCTCTAAGCCATGCCAACACTGCATGAGCAACAAGCACCATATGGCACTTTCTGGTAGCATCATTTCTGATGTCTATGCTCTGAAGTTATCATTTACATCCAGTGAATGTTGACATGGATGAGTGTCTTCAATTTTACATGGGAACACTGGCGGGTCCTAGAATATGCCAAAGATGGGAGAGTCGTTCAGTGCAGTGCAGTTAATGGTTGCACTCCACAACTCCATTCGCACTGCAACTATTGCTACAAATAGATGAGGAACAGACCTGAACCGATCTCAACTCCAATCCAGTGGAAAAATGAGATGCTCACAATAGGATCATTCCAAGCCTATTTTATGCCTCTTCACTGTATGTGTAAAAGAATGGATGTGGGAGAATATAGGTCTGAGACTCAGTTGGCCAGAAGAAAAGTTGCATGTGTTTCTATGTGAAAGGATAGGCAGAGGAAGCCAGGCTTTCCATCAGCTCTGACCATGCTCGCCTTTCATGTGAGTCCCAAGTTGTTGCCCACCAATCCTCAGGTTTCTCTGTCCTGTTCAGTTAGTCTTGTCTAAACTAAAGATACTCTGAGTGACATCAGAGTATTTCAAATGACCACCATGATTTTTTTCCAGTGATTATGTCAGAGCAGCCGAGCCAATAGTATTGAGTAAGATGATGTACAGAAGAGAATGGCAGTGGAAAAGACTCAACAAACTACTGTTATGGGGGAATTAATTGCCTATGAAATAATTAAAAAGTGAGCCAGGACAGATTGGACAGGT